TCTTGTCTTTTGGCAATAGCCATTCCAGTTTCTCTTTCAATATATATACTTATTTATATATATTTTGTTACCTTTCTTTGAGTGAATGCTTACTTGTTTGAATTGTTCTTTCGTCGAGTTCTTGTCCTTGACAGCTACCTTACAAGCCTATCGTCAACTTGTTATTGATCCTTGTAGAAATCGTTGTAGATTAGAATGTTGAGTTATTTTCAAAAAATATTGAAGTAGAAAGGAAAGGACTTTATGACCAAGGTTTTGGAGGTTCAATGGCTATAAGAAGAAGGTTTCATCAATATATTCTATCATCCAATATTTTGAAGATTTAGAAATTCCATAAAAACAAGTTTGGAGTTGGATTTTCTTTCATAAATCTAGCAGCTGGAATTTATATAGAATACCTTTTAAATTTTATAGATCTATATGTGACATATGATTTTTCTTTCTACTCTTTATGTGCATGTATGATTCCAATAATCATGTCATGATGTTTAAAGTCTTGTATACACAATTCACAAGAATTTGGAGTATTTCATGTCGGCTCGAATTCTAAATCGACGTCAAGCTCGATGGAGTATGTTGCTATCTAGGTTCGATTTTGTTATCACTTATCAACTTGGAAAGCAGCAAAGTCTATCCGATGCCTTATCGAGGAAATCGTATCTTGTACCAAAGGTTGGAGAAGCAACATTTGATCAACAATGTATGACGTTGAAGCGAGAGTAATTTCAGCTTTGCGCTACTATTGTGCCAATTGATGCTGACTTCCTAAACCAAGTACGTGCCGTGATCATTGAAGATTTAGTAGCCATTCATATCAAACAGCGTGCCAATGATGACAAGTTCAAGGTAGAGGAAGATCTTTTATACTTTGAGGAGCGGTTGCATATTCCAAAAGGACCAGCACGACTCCGAGTTCTTCAATCTCGCCACGATTTTCCAGCTGCGGGACATTTTGGATTCAACAAGACCTTGGAGCTTATTTCTCAAGATTTTTGGTGGCTCCAAATGTGAAAGGATGTGAAAGATTTTTTCTTCTCTTGCAACATTTATTCAAGATCCAAGAATCCTCGACATTGCCCTTATGGACTTCTACATCCATTACCGATTCCACGTCGACCATGGTCTTCAGTTTCCATGGACTTCATCACAGACCTGCCATCATCAAACTCATTTGACAGCATCTTTGTCGTCGTAGATCGGCTTACAAAGATGGCACACTTTGTCTCTTGCAAGAAGACATCGTCCAATGAAGTCACAGCAAGGCTCTTTCTCAATAATATGTATCAATATCATGGACTACCAGATGATATCGTATGAGATCGAAGAACCCAGTTCGTATCAAAGTTTTGGAGATCTCACTTTGAGATACTGAAGGTGGATATCAAGCTTTCTTCAGCTTTTTATCCTCAAACTGACGGCCAAACAAAACGGATGAACCAAGTCTTGGAATAATACTTACGATGTAGCATCAACTATCAGCAAGACGATTGGATCGCATATTTGCCACTAGTCGAGTTTGCATATAACAACACCCTCCATACGTCGACTCAATACACACCATTCTTTTCCAACTATGGGTATCATCCAAAGCTTGGTTTATTGAGTCCGTCAACAAATGACAATCTAGCGGCTGAAGGATTTGTGAAGCAACTATCAGAGCTTCAAACTACATTGAAGCTTCAATTACAATCCGCTTAAGAATCCTACAAGGCGTCTGCAGATAGATTTCGGAATCAAGCACATACTTTCAAAATTATAGATAAAGCATGACTTCTTCGACAAAATATCAAGACCAAGCGACCATGTGATAAGTTGGACTATCGAAGATTGGGACCATTTATCATCCAAAAGCAAATCAATCTAGTGGCGTACCATCTGGAATTACAGGCTTCTATGAAGATACATCCAGTCTTTCATGTTTCTCTGTTAGAGCCTTATCGAGAGTCGTCTTTTCCTGTAAGAGTACAATATCCACCACCTAATATTGAGATCGAGAACCACGAGGAATACAAGGTTGAAAAGGTATTGGATTCACGACGAAGGTGGAACAAGTTGGAGTATCTTGTTCATTGGTGCGGCTATGACATTAATGAGCGAACGTGGAAACCAGCTGAAAATCTCGCCAATGCGCTACAAAAGATACAAGAGTTTCATCAAAAAAATCCTCATAAATCTAAGCTGGTTCGACGATAGCTTCCTTCTGAAGCTTGCTCACCCAAGAATATAAGAAAGAGAGAGAGCACTACCAAAACTTGTAGTTGATGTAGTTATTTTTTCTTAGATAAAGTAGAATTTTTTCAATAGCCATAGTTTGGTCTTCTGATATGGATAGCCAAGAGATAGATACTATGTCAGTCAGATTATCTCAATTGACTAGCTCACGAAGGTGATCCCGAGATGAAAAACCGCCTACACCACGATGACAATGGAGGATATCGAGTAACTGATCACTGATGATTGTATTTGATTCGAGCTTGCTTACGATGGTCAACCAAAAGGCATGTTTGCAGGATAATTTTACAATGAGGACATGAAAGTTCATGCTTAGTCAGAAGTCGAAGGCATGGGCCACTACCATTGGCTTCAGGGGCCAATGAACCACTTGCCTCGTGAACAACAGTTGGAGTTCATAGCAGATGTTATGCGACAGATCTTCATTTTGCTTGGTACTAATTAATAACAACATTGCTTCTCAGAGACCTCGAAGCTAAAGGAAGAGGTGATGTTAGGAACATAATCCTTAGAACCTTCTAGAGACAAGTTTCTAGAACCTTTTAGAAGCAAGTCTCTAGAACCTTCTTGAAGCTTCTTAGTTGGTGGAAGCAACTTGAGAAGTTTCGTAAATAAGAGTATATATTGGAATCGAGGTTGAAGAATTCTTCACTCTCAACAACACATCTCTTGGAGCTCTAACTCACTTCTCTGGTGTTGTTCTTGTATTCATCTGATTAATCTAGTTCTTGCCAGTTCTTCTTGAACTTCTTGTTAGATCTCGAGCCTGTATTTCTGTGACCATGACAATTTCTGTGTCTATGACAACCATTAGCAAACAAAAGAAATTTTCTAATCTAACTTGGAGATTGTTTGAAATCTTAGAAATCTTCACTAACCTTCAAAATCTAATTTTTAAAATTTTAACTCATGTAAACTTCAATCACTTATGATTTAACCTTTTGATTAAGATCTTATTTACAATCCACATTTAGCACAATAAATTTTATCAATCCACAAAATTTTATTAATAGATTTTTTATAAATCTCACAAATTTTACAAACAATGAATGTTCTTTTTATTCAATACAAACTATTATCAATTAAAACAACTTCAATTTTGTAAAGCTCTCACAAAGTCAATAAAAACTCAAATCACTCAAAACCAACACTTATAGAAACCTAATCAGATTTTCTCTTATCTAAAAAAATTCTAATTTTTTCTTATTGTACTTGTAAATCTTTCTTAAAATAATGATTGATTCAAAATGATAAAGCATTTCAAAAACATCTCTCTATTGACAATCTTTAAGGTGTAAAATAGATTTTTGTAGTAGAATGTAGAATTTTACCAATAAACATTTAAATTAATTTTTTCTATGGTAGTTGAAGTTTATATCAAAAGAACTTAGTATATTAAATATATATGTAATTAATAAATAAAATATTTTATTCAAAAGAATAAGAATATTTTAGGTTCTTATTTATAAATATAATAATTTAAAATATTTATCAATTAATTTTTTAGTGTCAAAAATTTATTATTAACAAAAAAATATTTATAGTAAAAAAATTGAATTAGAATATTAAACTCCAATAAAATGTTATTTGTATATTATGTCTTCAAAATGAAATAAATTTATTTATAGTAACTATATTTATATGATTTTTTATACATAGATCAATTAATAAATAAATTTGTAGAATACAAGGACAATCAAACTTCTCCATTTTAAGAATATTTTATAAGAAATTATATCAATAATTCAAAAAAATTATAATATTACAAATTCAAATAGCATCTAAGATTTTATTGGAATTTTTTGAGTGGTAAATGAAACTATAGCCATAAAGAAGGTGAAGAAGATATCATGATGTTTTTTAATACAATTGTAGATTAGAATTTTTATCTTTGATTTAAAAAAGAAAAAATTAAAACAAAGAATATAATATTATGGCATACATAATTGAACTAGGCTATAGGTTCTTACAAAAATAGTACCTTCTTTAGAATTTAATGTCTTTCGAATTGAGTGATAAACTAAAAAACGACCAAAAGATCAATATGAAGAATGTATAATTTAAGCCTTTAATACACAAAAAAACAATGATATTATGACTAATTCATTCAAATAACAATATTAATGTGTAGAAAATCAAATTTAATAAAGGTATTTTTCTTCTTTACCAAATATTTATGTTAGATATTTCTAATATAACTCTTTATAGATTTTAGAAGATTCTTCAAGCCAAATATACATTAAATTGGATAAAATTTATTTTATGTAACAACAACAAAACTCTTATGTATTGTTTGAAAGTATTTTGGATGACATGCAAAATCATTAAAGAAAAAGTTGACATGACAATACAATAGAATTCTAAAATTCCACAAAATATTTTGAAAGTTAACGAAGTTGAAAGAAGCAAATAGCCATTACATAAATAGAGGTTATAGTGGATATACACAAAATTTTGCCCTGAAGTTAGTTGTTGTGCATTTGGATGCATTTCTATATCCATATCCAACCACTAATCAATACAAAGATAAACCCTTGCTGTGTCAAAAAAATAAAAATTAACTTCTCTGCCATCAGACACTATTACAAGAAAGCTTCAAAAGTAGACGTGAACATTGCTCTAACATTCGATCGTGAGGAGAGCATACCACAACATGAAAAAGTCTAGTTGTACAAATGGACGCACACAACACGACAAACTCTACGTTGTACACTCCAACGCACACGACATGAATCCTGATAGCAAATACTTGCGGATTAGACAGTACCTTCAGGATTAATCTCACAATGCTGGATTTCTCAATGTGCTTGGGCTACAAGATAATAATATAAGTAACAAGTAGCATTTGCGCTAACTCTCCTGCCACTAAGATTCAGTTTATCATATTCTAATTACAATATATATGTGTTCATATAGCCCTAATCCTGGGCAGGCAGGCCTCATTGCTGGCAGGCAGGAGCCGAGCATGTTAGGGCAGCGGGCGCAGTATGAGGCTGGGCATACAGGCAATTTTGGTATGGATGAAAAACATCCAAGGATGATAAGCCCAGTCAAGGTCCAGATTCTCCAATACCGACCAGGATCATTTCCTGTAACTGGGTGCGCAGCCTTCAATCCCACGAAAGCACTTCGAAACCTCTTGCATTATCTGAAGCTTTTGAAAGAAAGCTTCAAAACGCAAAAGTTGATCCACGATTCGATTGTAGGGAATAGCATACCCCACAACAGGAGAAAAATCTAGTTGCATGTCGCATTTGCACTGACTCTCCTGCCACTAAGATTTTGATGTTACAGTGACTTGGTATAGACACCCTCAAAGCTGTTTGGATCTGTAGACCTCAACATACTCTCGTCTAAATCTCATCTCCGATACTAGCATGTTGGAAACAAGAACAGTGACTAACCAAACATAACGAACAAACTAAATGAAACGTCTCAACTAGTCAAATATGCGAGACCTAAACGGTCGCACCTCCCTCAATAGAATATTAACAGTGTACACTCAATTTTCAAAAAGGTAATATATTCTTTCTATCTAAACCTCTCAAGTTCACTTGCTTCTAATATAGCAGCGGTCGCTTGGGAGAAGTAGACGAGCCCTGTGAACCTCCTGGAGCCCGATATATTCAGGCTTGTACTTGTGCCACTGCCGAAGACTATGCGCAAGTCTAAGGCTCTCTTTTTTCCAGGTGCTGACGTGCACATCCGCTGAAGGCACAACATTTTTGAAGTATGTTGCGTTTGGGGTGAAGAGGCCGCTAAGGACACCTTGCGGGGAGATGACATCTCTGGGAGTTCGCACTCTCTTCCCTGGCTTGTAGAACTCGATGTACCGGTAGCAGAATGGATCTCCAGGGTTTAGGTAAAAGTGAGGAACCCAGTGCTGCAACTTCTGGAACTGCTCCCATTCGTTGTGCACCGCTGATTGGTTCCCAACCAACGCGTCTTTCAACTGCGTGAACCCCACTTCGAGTTCTGGAACATGATCAGCTCCTTCGAAATTAGCTGGAGCCGTCGGTCTGGGAAAAGCCCCTCCGCTGAGAACATCCACCAGCGTCATCAGAGGAGGGTTGAACAGATGTGTGTCGATGTTGATGCCGTGAGTGGAATACAGAAACCCGCCGACGATGAGAGCAATCGCTGCCCCGAGCGAGTGCCCGGCCATGCAGATTTCGCCATTTGGTTTCTCCTTTCGGAACTTCTCCACCACCTGCAAAATTAACTCCACGGTGCGAAGAACTCGACCGGATTTGTTCAGGCTCTCCACGCCAATCCTCAAATCCGCCAATAAGTCCAGATCCCTAGTAGGTATGGTACCCCGCAGCACGATTGCCAACTCTGGGGCTCTGGGATTGCGATGTGAGCGCTTACGGCAAAAGAACGCCAGACCCAATGCTTTGAGAACCAGCTCGGTTGCCCCACACCGATACGTATCCCAGTGCTCCTCCCCGTATTCCTTAGCTCGATCATTTGTATAGTCCATGATCCAAGAAGCGGCAGTTTCCAGTCTACTTAAGTCCCGGAAATAGGTGCAGTGCACCAGCATCGACATCACAGACCGCCGCGGCATATTTTCATAACCTTCCTCGGCTAACTTCAAGTCGCCATCTAGAGAGTTGAGCACTTTGTCACCTACGGCACTGATAAGATCTTTAGCTCTGCGTAACTCCTTGAACACCATTGTCGGTAGAACGTCTCTCGTACTCAACCCGGCCGGAATGAAATACAATGCTGTCGCTCAAATTAAGCGCTGACGTGGGGCCGCTTCAGTGCAGATTCTCAAGCTGCAAACACATGGGCACACATATGGATCAGAATAAAAGGACACTTTAATGTCACAAGATACATGCTCCTCCAAACCAAGATGTAGGATGTCACTCTTCTAAACTATCTCAGCCTCTTTCACCGACTTTCGCGTGCTTCACAAGACTTGCACAAAAGATCCAAGACAGCCAATGAGGGGTCAAATTCGCCTCATGCGTGAGGATGAGAACCAAAGTCTGACGAAGATCCACATTGAAGACAAACAAGGCAACCTAGATTGAGATGAACAATGTGATGCTGACGTCGGCGATGTTGTTATCTCAGAGTCAGCAGTGATTGATGGTCACGACGTTGATTTACCTGAAAAGACATGAAACCAACGGAAGGTGAGAGGAAGAACCAGGGCGAGGAAGACGAAGTGGGTGATGCTGGCAGCGTCGAAACTGATGAAGAGGCGTCAGTGATCATCAATGATCTGAGGGTCCAAAGGTTAGACGCATTTAGAAGGGCGATCACAGATGAAGAGGTTGTAGCGAAAGGAGAGCGATTCAAAGTCAAGCCAGCCGCAGGCCTGAAGAAGCCGCGTTTGAGCGGAGGAAAACGCCAGAGACGTAAGTGACGGCATCCGACGCAGCAGAAACCTTACAAATATCAATGCAGGAAGACGAGCCTTCAACAACGTTGACTGGCCGGTGGAGAAAATGTCGACTCGCATATTGCAGGGACTAGTCGACTACGGACGCATTGCGTGGAACACCACACTGATCACGATACCAGAGATCACGCAGTTCCATTTTCTTCGTGCATTTGTGCCAAAAATAAAATATATATAGAAAAAAAGAAAAAAGAAAAAAGAAAGGCAATGCAGGAAGAGAATGGGACTGCGGTCGTCGGCAGTGGATGCGCAGACCCCTCGTTTGAGGACTCGAGCGCTGGTTGGGTGCGTTAGTGGCCAAGTTGTACAGACTTCAGTTTCTTTCTGTCAGGCATCGGTATCAACAATAGTACACACTCCTCCTTCCCCGTCGGTAGGAATTGTAGTGCAGGCGCCTTCTTTAGGCGTAGGTGGCCGGAGAAGTTGATTCTTTCTTGCCCTCAGGCATCGATTGTCAAAGCCGTGCGAGGTTTTCGCCGTCTCCTAATCATTATCCCACTTGGATCAATCGAAGGTGTTGAGGCCGACCGATGTTTTGTTCATGGGTGGGTTTCATCGGAGAAAATCATTGAAGCGAGGCCAAAATCATGTGGGGTGTAGCAATATCAATTGGGTATGTAAAGTTGAAATTTTTTTTTATAATTTTTTTTTTTTTTTTTTTTTTTTTTTTTTTTAACATTATTAATCTTACATACTACTTAGAAGAGAAATAAAATAAAATCAAATATAGGTGGAAAGATCTAATTAATATAAAAAGTCCAAATATATTAGCAACATAATACATATAATTTGGAAGCAACATATTTAATAGAATTTATATGCATTTTTTAAAGAATAAATGCATCTATTATGTAATAAAAATTAATGTTAATATAAAAAATATAATTAATAAGACATAAAATAATTAATTGTAACTTTTTAATAATGTATATGTTAAATCTTAATTCTTTTTATTAATGAATTAATTTATCAAAGATTATCTATAAATGTTGTTTTAATTATCTATCTTTGCACATGTTAAGGATATGACACTCAAAAAAAAAAAAACTCGATATATTCTTGTGTTAGTAAAAAAAAAAGATTAGAAAGTTATTTGAAGATGGTAATATATTGAATTGAAATAGCTATCGCTAAAGACAAGAAGACTAGAAAGTCTTGAAACAAGACTAAAGACTAGAAAGGCATTGATAAGAGTGAAAAAGGCTTCACTATTGCCTCCATATATACTATCTAACTAGAAGCTACATAACAATATTCTATAAGACCTCCAACACATGTTCACTTTGTTAAATACATGTCATAACTTGTAATGCAAGTTTTTTATATTTGTGCTACATAGTTAACTTGTTTCACAAGCTACTAACATGTGTGATACATGGCTAATTTGTTAACCAAGTTTTTAATCTATTAATTAACTATAAACATGTATAAAGATAAAGCAACACCTATGAATCTTTTAAGAAGTTTTTTTTAGAAGATATTATGAAATAAATTTATTTTTATCTATTTCTACCTAGTCATATAGATAAATATTAGAATAAATACATATATTCCTAACATTATCCCCCTTCTAAGGACAAGTGCCATAAGGGGCAATCATCATATATTGAAAAATTTCAAGATGTGACAAATTGCATTTGCTACATACTATGATCTTTATTATCTTCAAAGATAATTGATACATCCTCTCATCCATCAATAGTGTCTATATTAAGGTAATAAGACCATCATGATATTTGATTGTTGTTGAGGCATTCATAACTTCCTTCAAATAAAACATTTGAAACACCATTAGGAGTCGTTTCTACCTTTAATAAAATCACCAAACATCAAGAGTCTTTTCTAAGATTATGATGCCAAATATATTGTATCTTGCTATCTATTTGAGGAAGGACATGTCATTCATGAAGATCTTCATCTCAATTACATTATCTTAAAGGTTGTAACAATTGTAATCTCTTGTTTAATAATTTAATAAATAATAGCTCTTGAATTGAATTTGCTCGTTGTTGGTTTTTCATTTCTTTGGTGCTATAAATACACAAAAGCTACAAACAATGATAGAAGATAGAATGCAATCTTTCATGGATCTTATTTCTTTTATAGCAAAGATTTATTATTCTTCATCTTACTTTTGATGGATGTTGTCAATGAAAAGTGTCAACATTCTTTGCTATATTTGTGAGATTTTTTGTTGATTCCCATATGCATTCACTAATATCATATCTATGTCAATGAAGAAGATATTTTAATATATTTTGGCATTTTTTAAAATCTAAGACTTCTTTCAACTCAAATTCTTGATTATTATCGACTTTTATAGAAAGAAGTAGTATTTTTATTTTTTTTTAAGATATTTTTTATGTTGTATGGCAGAAGAGAAGATATGTGGAATTTAGAATGGATCTTTGATGAATTTTGTAGATATAATTGATCTAGTATAATATGGAATTATTTACAAACAAAAAGAGATTTAGTACCATGATACTTTAACTTATCACAAAGACCAGTAGTCTTGATGTTATAATGAAGTAACTATAGCTTGTTACCTTTCTTGAATTGTAATTATTCCTTGCAATAGGCATTTGTATTCATCTTTTGTCATGCTTAAGCTTTCTTTAATCATGCCTATAATATTGTATGTAGCTTTGATAAATAATTTGCTAAATCTTCTACCAGAAGATTATGATCTTTTGAAATATCAAAAATATCAAGTCATGGATGATAAACATAATTAACAAAGAAACGTATTTGTTGAATATAAAAATATACCAAATTATTGTATGCATACTTTGTCAATGTCAAAGGTGTTATCTAATGAGGATCAATAAGGTGAATAAGATTGAGATGATTAAAGTGATACTAAAGACAACATTATTATTATTTCAATATTAGTAGTGATTGATGGCTATAACATTGATTTACTTGAAAAGATATGAAACCAACAAAAAACTCTGAATAAGGATTAGGATGAAGTTGGTAGCGTCAAAATTGATAAAGTTTTCTAAGCAATCATTAAAGATTTGAGTATTTAAAGATTAAAAGTATTTGGAGGAATAATGATGAATAAAGAGGTTGTAGTAAAAAGAAAACAAACTAAAGTCACAATAGCCTTTGATTACAAGGAAAAAATGAATAGAGCTATGGTTGAGTGGAGAAAAACATCAGCAAGAGGTGTGAAAAAACATACCGCAACAGAAACCTTGTATAAAAGAATGTAGAAAGAAAATGAGGTTGTTATCATTAGATGCAGTCATTTGCCACTTATATTTAGTTTTTTTATATATTAATTACATATGCCATTGGTTTAAAAATGAAATCCATTATTTGATTGTAGAAAATCTAAGGCTCTGGATTTAAATATATGCTACTTATATTAAAAAGTTATAGGTTGAAAAATAACTTATTTTCTTTATTTTATAAACCAATTTTAGTGTAATATTCTTTTCTCCCTTCAACTCCATTAAATATTATAATTTTTAAGTAGAAGTGAAGATTTAAAGAGAGATTGGTATCTTTGACAAATCATGAGATTCACCTCATTGCAATGTACAACAAGCTTTTATAAAGCACTTTAGAATACCTCAATGTAGTATCTTTGTAACTCCGGCACGTGCAATACTTCAAAAAAATCTTATTAAATTGCCGATAGACATTATATTAAGATTTAAAGATTACTTTGTTAAATATTTTAAAGTCGAATCATTCTAAATAAATAAAAAAATTCATAAGTTGATAGGTTGGCCTTATCTTTCTATCCATTCTTCCATCCACTTAATCTAAGAGATTTACAATTAAATATTTATTAATACATGTATAATTAAAAATATAATATAAAAAATAAATTTTATAGTATGGTATAGAGCATACATATAGTTAAGAAGGCACCTCTTCTAAGTATCTTAAAATTAGTTGCAAAAGCATTTGTAGGAATACTATACTCAAACAAGAAGTACCCAAATAATATGAGAATTGAGGGATGTTTTTTGTTGCTCACATGGATTAGTCTAGAGAAAACATATTGTATTAAGACATATCATCAATGAATGAAAATAAGTTGATTTTTAGGAGCAAAGCATACACAGAATTATGTAATTTTAATAATTTCAGTAACATAAAGATTAATTCATCTTTTGAAGATTTTTTAAAATTTAAAATTTAAAATGTATAAATATACAAAAATAAATAAAATTCTATATTTATTATATATAATTCTATATATATAATAGAATTTTAAAAAAATCATTATCACCTTTAATAAAGTCATTTATTTTATAAAAATAAAAAATAAAAAAATAAAATTTTAATGAATATAAAATAATTACTAAAAAAATAGAATATTTTATAAAATATATGAAAAATAAAAATTATATTATTAAAATTATAAATAAAATACCTTTTTTAATAATAATATTTTTAAAATTAAATTTATTAAAAATATATATATATTTTTATCTATTTTATAATATATTATCATGGATATATGTATTTATTCTAATAAGTACTTGTATGATTACATAGAAATAGATAAAAGTAGTTTAAGTTCATAATATTTTCTAAAGAAGCTTTGTATATGTAACTTTGACTTTATATATGTTTGTAATTATTAGTAAGTTAGAAACTTGGTTAATAAGTTAATCACATGTTACATCTATTGATAACTTGTGGAATAAGTTAGTTATGTGGCACACATATAGAAAACTTATTCACAAGTTATAACATGTGTTTAACAAAGTTAATACATATTGGAGGTTTTATAGAACATTGCCATGTAGCTCTTAATTAGATAGTATATATGGAGGCAAGAGTGAAGTCTTCTTCACTGTTGTCAATGCTTTTATAGTCTTTAGTCTTGTTTCAAGATTTTTTAGTCTTTTTGTCTT